TTAATCGCCTGACAAACAGCCACTCGAAACCCTCCAACAGAACTATATAAGCGCTGTCACACTGAGGACTGGCACTTCTCCGAAGTTGTATCGATGATTTTGCCTAACCTGGCTACGAAATGTCTGCGAACAACACTTCCAGCTCGGAGAACTAATCAGCACCAACGGTTCAGAACTGTACCCTCATTCATGGAACGACTATCAGCACCCAACACACGACATCAAATGTCATCACCGCTCACCGAATATTCCCATCAAAGATGAGCGATGCTTCGAAGACTTCGGTGGTCGAATACAGAAGGTGCATTGGTTTCTTCAGCAGAGAGAGACAAGATTTCATAGCCATAAAGGAAGATACTATAAACCGCGGTAATGTACACCCTTCCCTCGGAGGCCTCGAGCCCTTGGGTCGACACTTCTTGAACCTGTTTTCTCTGCTTCATGTCATTGTGTTGTTTTAAAATCTCAAGTATTCTTCTACTCAAACCTCTACTAATCTGTTCAAGTTTTCTATCACTAATCGTTTAGGAGACTTACCTTTCCAGATAGTCCGTGTGGTTTCGGACTATTGACTCACTCTATTGCCCTTCATAATTTTTCTTTGTTTCTCCTTTTTCAGTATCATCGAAAAAAGTGTCGCTCATCTACGGGCATTCTTCAAGTGGTTGTATGTCGGTAAGTTGATAGAGTTACTGTCGGTCATATTGTCGCTATTAATAACAGCATTTGTGAACTTCTAAGTCTGAACACAAGCCGAGTGCCAACCCTTTCCAGATTGAGGGGGGGGGCTGGCACTGGATTGTGTCGAAAGTTTTTATGGTCTTTTGGATCATCTAGTCGCTCCACGTCCTGGCAGGAAGTTGACGTAAGGGGCTTCGGTCAATGACTCCAGACGAAAAATACAATTAGACAACGCTTTGAGTCAGCTGTCTGTCAGGGGGTCGAGTCATATGCCACTTGGACCTGGTTCACACATCCTGTGTGCTCAATATAGGCATCGCGTGTTCACACCAATAGCCATCACATCTATCCGCGTAGGAAATAGAAATATCATGGGAAACCTGATCACCCAAACCAATTCATATTAATACAGTCTCAGCGAAATTCGGTCTCTCCTTGACATAATTCCCCATTATCTTTTAGCGATTCCTGGTTTGTCTGGTCGTGTCCTACCGGATGATTTTCCTCGGGTGAGTTCTGTTGATCAAATCTGGGTGTTCACTTAAATAAATAAGTAATAGATGTTTTCTCTTTGTGTTTAATTTATCGTTCTTTTATGATGCCCTCAGCTGAATATTAGTAAATTGCATCCGGTATTCAGTCCTTGTATGCAGTTTCAAGTTTCTGGTTGCCTCGAAACTGCTTGCCTTCCTTCAGGGGAATTTTTTCTAACTCAATTGCCGCATATCAGTTCCAGATATTCCTCCGTTCCTTTGCAATATTAGTTTAGCCACAGAATTGAGTATATGGCGCCCACCATAATATAATAAAAATGTTTTAGCTATAGTAATCACAATATCGATGTTAACCCACTCGACGAAAACAAGAATGAACCAGGTCGAATGCAGTGAGAACGCGGGACAAAAATTGCATCCGATGGAAATCACGTCATCTCAAANATCTCAAATGAGTGAAACATTTTTTGCGGTGTATACTCAGTTTAGTAACTTCTTTCTCATATCCCAAACTGCTTATTCGTTGTGCACTCTATTCATGATTTTCTGGTGAAAAATAGGTGGCATTAGCTGTGTAGACTTGTTCATTCGCTTTTGTTATTGCCAGTATACGTTCAATCCGATTGATACATTCGTTATGACCAGTGTCCGTAAACATAAGCGATGGACCAAGTTCACCACATGATTCACAAATTAAAAGAACATCTCCCAAACAGCCAGAGGCGCGTCAGACCAGTTTGACGATAACCTTCGGTCAATGACCTGTCTAATTCCATCGGTGCTCAAAGGAAATTATATTTCATTCATTTACACAGGTGCATCTGCGCGATGGCGTTTATCGATCCGGTCTGACGTCTTACTCCACACATCCACTTACCAGTAAATCGCCGTTGCACGTTAGTGCGACAGAGCCCATTGATAGGCCGAATAGCCGTGGTTTTGGTGACCACTCATACACAAATGACCACATTCGAGTGCCCTACAGAATTATAGACAAAACCTTTGCAGCTTGGCTCTTCTTTGGAGATCAACAAACGCGCTGTTTAAATCAATTGTGCAATCCAATAATCAGCGTGAAAGCCGAGCATTAGCCTAAGCAAACAGCTTCACTTGATCCAGTGCTTCCCTATTTGAGATAACTACCGGCGCATTCACTGCTTCACATTCATCTTATGTTTTTCCTCTGAGACTTAATGCTCTTTCTGTGCGCTGCTTGTAAAACAAAGCTGTTTCATCTTTATTAACAATAGTACAATCAGCGTATTCATGGATCAATTGCCATAGCCCCGCTAGAAACTCGTCCACTGCATCACGTGGCACCGCCAAACGTTCCCCACAAACCTATAAAGTAATCCATATTAGTAGTTGCTTGTCTCCTACTTTGTAGAATTGAATACCACATCTGTCTGACCAACAGCAAAACCTACCTTTGGAAGCTTTGAAGTTATGATGATACATTCTTTGTGCTAGCTGGTTTGCTTTCTCATAAGTGATGCCCTCGACCATGGGGAACTCATTGTGCTTTTCCCTCATAGTAGTAAACCAAACCAAGGCTGCATCATTCACCGCCTTGATTTTTTTCGTTGGTTTTCAGGAGGCATTTTTCCTGAGATACTCCAGCATTCACAAATGATCTGATAGTGTTTCGTTGGGATATAAGTCTGTGAACAGCTTTTTTAAACACGAAGTAATTCGGATACGAGCTATGAGTTGCACCCGGCTGATTCGGCATCTCCAACACACTCTGATCGATAGGCGCTTGCACATTTTGAAGTCAAGTGACAGTGACCAAATGATGTTAGGAGTGCATCGAAAAATCGATGTGCCGTGTGTTGTTTTATTGAGAATGTTATAGTGTTAATAACACAGCGGTGTCGGTAGAGAATTATATATATATATACATATATATATATATATGTATATATATATAATTCTCTACCTACATTAACACTATGACATTCACAACTCAGGTGACAGTCTTCGATCATTGGCATCGGTGTATCTTCCAATCAGTGAACAGTGCCATGTTCGCGTCACACTGGGTGAAACGCCATTGGCTGAGTGCGACATTCCAGATTGGTTGGTAAATGGCCGTCACGAAATTCGTTCAACTTCCAAGTGAGTGGGTATCAGGAACGACGACCTATTGAGGGGACGACATTGCATAGTCAGAAACTACGTTATTACGCATACGGTTGGATTGGATTTTCCAAAAAAGTGGGAAGATATTGGAAAATACAACTTGTCAGGCGTGCGACATAGAAGGAGATTGACTGTAGTTTGTTTACCCTTGTTTTTTTCTAACTGGCACTTACTTCAGCAAAAACCGCTTGCCAAGGATTCCTATCTGCTGGCATTCGTAACGCAGGCTCTGGGCACTGTAATTTATCAATTTCTGGTTTTTGCTTTCGTGTGTGACCATGACTCCTGCTAGGCCGGGCAGACAACCGTTTGTCCTTCAGTGTGTACCTGGTCTTTGGTCCATCACTACCCTTTTAATTAAGTTGCAAGCTTTTCTGTATAATTTCAGTGCTATTGTAACCATGTTCGGTATGCGTTTTGCACTCTCAACGTGTAAAATGCTACTAACAGACTGGGTTGGTCTATCACCCAGCCTCACTTTAACTGGGGAAGTAATAGAGCAAGTGGATAAGTTTTGTTATCTGGGCAGCTACATCTCACCCGGTGTACACATTACAGAGGAAGTGTCAGCTCGTATGCAGAAGGCTCGGTTGGCATTTGCCAGCTTGAGTCATCTGTAGCGCCCTTGCAACATCCGGCTGTCTCTGAAGGATCAAGTGTATGCTGCAGCAGTTCTGCTATACGGAGCAGAAACTTGACCATTACGAAAACACCGCCGTCTACGCAACGTTGCACAAATCTAGTGGGGCAGCCGGACGCGCAATGTTGAGGTCAGGCGCCAAGTTTTAGGCCACCGCGGTCGTCCACTGGAGCAAGTGGTCGACCTCCATAGATTGCGTTGGTTGGGGCATGTGTTACGCCTGTCACCATCGGTTACCACGGTGAGCGATGTTTCCGAGGTAGGTAGTTAGTGGAATAAAGGTGGTCAGGCTAAGATCCGGCATGAGGGTATGAAAACCCTAACCAAGAGACTGAGTCACATAGGTCCCGTTAAGCTCCCTGGCTGGGGACCTCGGGATGATCGTAACCGATGGTTAGAGACATTGAGTGATGTGGCTGAGTGTCATAAACAGTGGCGTTCGTGCATCTTCTCAGTTTCTTTGCGTCATTAGTCCACTGAAGTTCTCCATTTTCTATTCGACTCTACTTTCAACCTTCCTGTTTCGCCCCTATTCATCATCCAAATGGACAGCCAAAAGACAGCAACCAAAGCGTCTCGCGGAAACGCATACTTAATGATTGTTTAAACTGAACTGAACTGATAATTAAGTGTTGCCAGATAGATTGTGACTTATATGGCTGTAAGTCAAACAATGATCATCACTATTTCACCTCGGGTGTTGCATTCGGTGGTGTGTGTGGATGTGTTCAAACATCCTATCCAGGGCAATCGGTTGCATAGATTGGGGACCTAGTGACCACTTCACAAGCACTGACGATTTCACCTCGGCTGGTGATGAAACGTTTGCAAACGAATTGCGAAGCTCGGCAAACAGGCGAAATCAAACCTAGTGGTCAACTCGTTCAAGGGTCGGAGACAATGAGGAATGTGACTGAATGTCGCAAACAAGATTGCACGTTTATTCACTCCCTCTCCATACAGATCCATTTTGTTTGTTTTCGATATCGAAAAAATATATTGACGGTGCTCTTAGCTCCAAACCGTTCTCATCACTGCCCCCTATTCAGTTAGCCAAATGGATAGCCCAAAACCGTTGCACGAAGTTGATGTGTTGTGTAGACTGAACTATAGAGAACGCACAGCGTCGGCTAATAACTGAGCAGCATGCCAAGTTCCTCAATCTTTTTTGAAGAATTTTAGCACGCATATAGTTCTTTGTTGTATTGCAGCGCTTCTCACACCCTGAGCTGCTTCAGTGTTAGAACTACAAACCAGAAACCAATATCACAAAGCGGAATTATCTACCTTTGGTCATCCTTGTCAGGTGCCGCCACCTACAGGGATACCGTCATCATCATCACACAGCGAAATACAGTGAAGTGAACTTTACTGTTCGTTACTTCGCTCACCACTGGAGTCTACTGGGTAAAATTGCCAGGGACTCCAATCCGTAGCAGAAAACAAAGAGCACATCGGCGAAGTCAACTCAATCACCTGCGCGAAATACTCGTTTCGAGAATAAACAATAACTTACTCGTATTTTACATGTGAGACTCAGATCCGTGAGATTTGGTTGAATAAGTAACGCGATATTTCAGTTTAAGTTTAAGCAACTACTAACCATGCGCTTACTTGAGGCGGCTTTGCCTGCCCATTTGGTGGAAAGAGTAGAGGGAAGATTGGAATGTTGAAAACAGTGTCAACTTGAAGATAGGGTATCCATAAAGACTAAGGTTGCAAGGACATTGAATAGTTGCACGAGGGCCACTATTTACGACACAGCCAAATCACTCACTGTTTCTATCCTTCGGTTACGCTGTCCCCAAGGTCCCCATCCAGAAAGACAAGTTTCCTGTTCACGGTTTTCAAACCCTCATGCCGTTTGTTAGTTTTTCCGTCCTTGACTTCTTCCCTGTCTAGAAGAACATTGCACACCGTGGCTGAAAGCTTGTATATAACTCGCTAAAGCTTGAATACAATAAATTCACTTGATGATATACGTACCACATGCTTTGGCACGATAGCTATTGAAGTCAAGTCAAGAACGCACTTGATTTGTTCACAGTGGGCAAGTTTTCAGCGATTTCCTATGTGTGACACTGGTGTAAAAGGAATCACATTGTGCTGTACGAAAAGGTTCCGTGCACATTACCGTCACAATAGTTTTGTAAAATGTGTCTGCAAGCTCCTTAAACAATTTTTATTTTTAAATCGAGGTTTCTTACCGCCCGAGAAAGTGCAGCTGAATCACACTGTATTGTCCCGCGTATTTGCCTGAGTTTGAGCTCATTACGTAGACCGATGAATGAGTGCAGCACGAGGAATAGGCCCGAAGAGGGTGCGATAAATGAAAAAGATTATTCACCATTTGTCTCTCAGACCCACACGAGTGATCATCCAGCAGTACAACAAACAAGTAATTGGTTGTGATGAGGTCACATTTATTAATTACTCTCTCTCTCTCTCTCTCTATATATATATATATATATATATATATATATCGTACACGTTGGGGTCCAATCTGTACCCAACAAACCGCGGTACAGTAATCTTTATTGCCAAAGAAAAAGTTGCTTTGCCTGTGGGTGGGACACTGTCAGGTTACATTGGCCGGAGCAAGTGAATTCTCTGGGGAGTTCACAACTGGAGCCTTCGGCTAACCAAAGCACGATTCTCAAGGCTGCAGGGCGGTATGTGAAAACCACAATCCATTGAGAGGAGGAGGCGGTATTGTGTTCATCGAATCAGGGTCACACGTCCGAGGTGCCCGATGCACCTTGGATGAAACAGATGGTCGTAGCAGATAATCTCGTTCATTGCACTGAGACGGACATCCAATATTGCATACCATCAGTGTCCTTAAACTAAAAGCCGATGTGGTATAAGAAAGGCTGCACGCACTAAGAAAACGGAGACAGTGGAATGTAGTACCTTAAAGTAGGGTGGTGTTGACTGGAGCGGTGTAAAACTTGCGGTTTCATCTTGTGCTCATTGTCATCTGTTTGGCTCAGCATGTGTGCGCTTTCATTGTCTGGTTGTTTGTATGCGTTTTTATCGTTGCGGCTGTTTCATTTTCCCCCTTCCTCGACTCTCCCTCTCATGTTTCCCATCCTCTTCATAGGTTACCCCAACGGAGCGGGAATTGGTGATCGATTTTATCACAAATTATCTACAGCCGGTTTTCGTGCTAGGCGAGTTACAAAGCTATCACGTGGATCTGGTCGAACAGGTCAGCTGTCTGTGAGAATGCCTCTCCCGATCTTTATGGTCGGTTTCTTGAGTACAACAAGGTTGCTCCGATGTAACTATGCTACTTCGCTAGTGCGTTCTGTGCAACTATTTTCACTCCACATCTGAGCCATTCAGCGATTTAAAACCAGAATCTTTTTGTTTCATAAATCGGCTTTGCAGTTCTCTTTCTGTCCTGTTCTCTGCTCTCATAACTGTTTCCCGGTTTTGGCCTCTCATTTCGATGAACACCCTGCAGGAATTGCTTGTCGTAAAATTCAGTCACATGAGTCTTGCTATAAAATCTCCACAATGCGTAGCATAAAAGGGGAAAACTAACCAGGGGAGGGTGTACGCATACTCTCTTGGCTTGTAAGACGTTTTCCATGGCCAATATCTTCTGTAACAAACATGTAGCAATATATAGATTGGCAAATGGACTAGACACAATACTCCGAGCACAACTGATCATATAACAGCACCCAGTTACTGAAGAGGCTATGCATTATATGAGTTGTATATATTTCATACCGATTTGAGCACAAACGTAGTGCCAATGCAACAACAATGAAAAAATGTAGTAAGGAGTACAGATTGATCGAAGAAATGTGGGGAAAAATATAGAACAAGGAGAGAGAATAAATGAACAATGTTTTGCTAGTTTCACCGTACAAACTTTTGGAAGTTTTTTTGTTGATTATGAGAAACGGAGTTGTGACAAACAAACTGCACAATAATCGCTTCACTGACTTCTAATCTGAGCCATATCTCTCAGTGTCCCTACCCATCGGCAATCATCAACCCTTAAGTCCCAGCCTGGAAGGCGAGCTACACCAACCAAAGCCAGTGATGAAGCTAACTTCATCATACCTCCACGCAATATCATGCTCTGGCCGCCGCGGCACTTTTTCCAGAACATGCAAAGAGATCACATGAACAGGCACACGCAAAATATGACCAAGCCATCGGAGGCGGTGTGGAGCGGTTACTCCTGTTAAAGAACGACTATCTACATCCAACACACAAAAATAAACCTCGTCACTGCTCATCTGATGTTCTAACCAGGCATGAGCAATGCTTCGAAAGCATCAATGGTCAAATACAGAAAGTCGATTAACATTCTCAACGCGGAGGGACCAGGTCTCGCAACTGTAAAGCGATATACACCCTTCCCTTTAGGGAGAGTTGGATGTCGTGGCGACGCCACGGGTGTCGCAGGTTGACAAAAACTGCTTTAGCTTTTGCTATTCGTGATATGATTTCTTCTAGAACACCACCTCCAGCTGTGAATAAACTCCCGAGTTACTTAAAGCTCTCGAGTCCTTCTATCTGATCACCGGAAAGGGTGAGTGGGAAACAATAAATAAGGCGAGCGGCAGCACAAAGTAACTAAGACGTCATAAACACAGAAGCAGCAGCATGATATTTCTACTATCGGGAAGTACTGGTCAAGCGGTCTAAATCACTTCCGCTGGTATGCTCCAGATTGTGGCCTCCGATGTTTAAACCCTTTCAACACCACCCTCATCTGGTGTTAGACAACATGGTTTTCTTTTGACTCTTTATAATACTTATCCTATTTGATCCTTAGGTAGCTCCCTGATTCAAGCCTCGAGGTTTAGGTTACCGGTGCTCATAATCGAGTACTATAGTTCCGCCTGACCATGCGATTATCTCCTCGTGTTGTTTATCACATTAAGGTGGGTATTTCAGGTACAGGGATAAACGTAGCTACCTCGCTTTGGATGATGTATTCTCAAATCATTATCGACAGTTGCTTACGCTCCGGAACAAATGTATTAAAAATCACCGTGATTTATACGTTCATTTCACCCCCATCTTCTTCGCCTCTCTGTACTCAGTACATTCGCTCCGGAGAGGTGCGCAAGCCTCTGGA